AACCGTAACAACCACGAATCGAGGGGGCGCCTCCAGACACTTGTGTCCCGACAATTTTAGCATTGGACAGTTGGATTGTGAGTTGTGAATTGTGAATTATAAATTGTGGAGTGAGGTGGTATTAAGGCATTGCTTACAACACTTGATCGGAGGCGATTTCCGAATGCTCGGACATCAAACTGGGTGAACTGCTCGAATTTGGCATTGATAAAGCTGCGGACGGGCGGACATGGGCGACACAGATATTGTTATAGTCCAGATACAGATACAGATACAGATACTGAATCGCTACCAGTTTGTAATGAAAAATTGATTAAAGCACGCACACACCACCACATATACATGCATACATGGCATACGCAGACGGACCGATCAAATAATAAATTTATCACAAAATAAACGTGGAAATTAAACACCGAACAGCACAGACCAGACTGAATCAAATCAGGCCAGGAACCACAAAGGCAAAGGAAGGGGCAAATAAATGAGATTACAATTAATAAAATAATCGATAAGTGACCATGCAATCGCATACATAAATAAACATACATATGTGCTATATAAAAAAATATATATATATATATGTAGTTTAGTTTGAATGGAATGGGATGGACTGACCAGATTATAGGCCCAGTTAATTACGCTTTCTGATTTGGCGTAACCACTCGACGGAGTGCAGATTGCCAGTCGAAACAGTCCGCAGATAGGTTCCCATGTTTCTTTGATCAATTTCAAATTTGGTAAAAGTTCAATTCAGTCTATCAATCTTGGGCAACACTTTTCCGTTTCACATGTCGCTTTCCAACACTGCTTTTTAAAACATCGACTTTTTCAGAAGGCGACAGCCCTTTTTGTCACCTAAAGTAACCGAATATTGGCATATAAAATGGAAAGCATTGGCAGCACTACAATTCCGGGCTTTCTTTGCCGGCTCTGCAAGAAAGTTAACCGTTACGTTATCCCGCTGCCCGGCGACCGTGGTCAAAGCATGCAGCTGGTGGAAAAGCTAGAGACACTTTTTCTGATTAACCTATCGGCAGAGGATAACCACCCGAAGACCATCTGCCAAGACTGCATTAAAATGGTACAAAAGAATGTGAAGCATCGGTTAAAGTTAAAAACGATGATATCAGCGATGCATCCCGAACACAAAGTGGCAGGGGATCGGTCATCGAGTCCAGGGACCGATGACTCAACTGACTCATCGTCTGATTTAAGTGACTTTGATGATTTATCTGAATGCTCTCTACTGGATTTGTCAGTGACCCCAGTTCCCTCCGATTTAGAAGAAGACGGTGGGCTAAAATTCTTTTAAGTCCTTAAAATATTTTCATCAGATGAATGGCTCCAAGGGGTATGAAGGATTTCCAATCATGATCACAAAAAAAAACATTTGTTTTATTAATTTATTATTCGATGAATATTTTGCAGTGCGCCCAAAAAAAAAAAAAAGTTTCAACTATCTTTGTAAGAGATTTTATCGAAAACTATTTAAAGCTTAAACTAATTGATTATTATGGATCACCCAAAGCTGATATCCAAATTTGCAGTTTATATAAGAGATAAGAATCGATTCCACTCATAACTATTTAAAGTAAGTTGAAAAACTCGTTCGTTTTTATTCAATTTTGCATTCATGAATATTGCAGCACGCCAATATTAAAGTTTTAGTATTTTTGAAATCCGTCCATTTTATTACATTTATAAACCATCTTAACCATCTTTTATGAAAAGTTTTTTAAAGTTTAAACTAGTGCAACTTATGTTACTCAATAGACTGTTTCTGGATCTCCCAAAGCAAAGTAAATTCAACACCGTGATAATTGTTATCGAAACTAATAAGGGCTTACCAAATTGACTGTTATGGATCTCCCAATGCTAATATTTTAATTTGCAACTTATATGAGATATATAAAAGACCTATGAGTTTAAGTCCGTAGAATTTATATGAAAAATACCCGAAGACATTTTAATTGATGTTACATGAATGAAATATTATAGATCTCCCAGAAACTACTAATTAGACAACTTAATTTGTTATTAAAAAAAATGCAACACCTTGTGATAATATTGAAAAATAATAAAACATTTATGATTTTCTCAAATCATGTAATATTTAGTTATTTAAGTTAGACTTATTTTAGCATATAGTTTTAAGTTTGTTAACTATAAAATCAATAAATAATCCACCTAATAATAAACACAAATCGAACACCTTGTGATAATATTGTAAAATAAAAAACCCCAATATACAGTTTTGCAAATGTGAAAATTCCAAATCAAAGACAATAAATGTGCTTTTGGTGAATGTATCAGAATAAATGGCTGCCCAATTGATTTACCTCCTGGCAGGCCTCGTGTCCGCAGGCCAAATGCAATTTTAATGACCCAACTCTCGGGCGGACACAATGTCCTGATCCCGACCTGGGAAAATGGGGTTTACAAAGTCGCGGGACGCAATTCTAATTAGCCAATGCGGGGCTATAAAATGCCGGAAGGGCGGCAAAAATCAGTGGGAGGTGATGGGTGGTGGGAGACTGGAGGTTGAAGGTTGAAGGGAGAAATCAAATCAAATTAAGTCGCAAGTTGATGGCGCATTTTACAGTACTTGTTTTTTTTTTTTTTTTTTTTTTTTGAGGGGAGAAGTATGGGGTGGCGTTACGTCGGCAAATGGCGTTTGGCGTTTTTAATAATGTTGTTGCTCATTTCGCGGCCAGCGTCATTATCAGCATGTAATTTCTCATTTTCATAGTCAATTAAGTCAATCACACGCCCTTTTAGCCACCGCAAGGCCTTGGCAATGCGATGGAAAGCTGAAAAACTGAAGGCCGAAATCGTTGTTGAAAGCGCCGATGAAAGCCACCCCCTGCAAATTAACACGTTGGCGGTGGTGTGTTTCCGTTTCCGCTTCATTTTCCCCCGCCCATTGTTTATTTGTAGCGCAATTTGAAAGCGGTGCGCGGCGTTTATTGCTCAATTTTGGTAAAATGGAATAGGAATAGGAATAGGCCTAGACCCATTACGTATTCATATACTCTACTCGGACTCATCGGACTCATCGGGCTCATCGATGAGCGATGGAGGATGACTGGGTGGATTCGGAAGACGGGAGACGGGAGACAGGCGAAGGGAGACCCCGGAAAAACACCCACCCTCGAGGCAATAACTGTAACAATTTCAAGCACTAAAACGACACGTGGCAGCTGCTTTTAAAATTGAATTTCCTGCCATGTAATCTTGTCCAGAGTCAATTGTTTCTGTGTGTTTGTGTTTGTGTTTGTGTGTGTGTGTGGGTTTTGCACCACCCCCTTATTTTTCCACCCGCACGTGCCTCATTGTTAGGTTTTTTGTTTTTTTTTTTTGGTGTTGTTGTTGTTTTTGTTTTTGGAAGGGTACCCAATTCTTCTGGGTGCGTCGCACAGTCACACTTTCTTATTTATGAAGATGCGGCCAATATGTTGACGATTTGCTGACCCAGAGATAACCAAAGTTTACTTTATGGGTGTGAATGAGGTTTTGTTCGTTCACAGATTGACTTTCTAATGGGGTGTGAAAAGTCGGGGGTGGTGGTGGGAAATTGGAAAATGCGGCGGTACGGATGGATATGGCGGGATAACAGGGATCAGCAGGTCTTTGTGGCATTTGAAATGGATAATCAAACGGGGACGGGGGGAGATTAGCCATTCAAAAACAATAAATATAAAATGTTTCTTGAGTAATTGAAAAGGTAATAAAGTGGCTGGATTAATGGTTGCATTAAAATGTTTGGTTTAATCTAATAAAATATCTCTCGACTTTGGGCAAAGGTAATTAAATAGTTTACTACATTTTTTTATAGGCTAATCTTTAACACAGGGATATTTTTATTTAAGATAAGCTTGGACAAAGTCAATTAATCAAATTACTATATTTGTTCGATAAGACTATAAATCAAAAGTATATCTATTTGTTTGTTTTTCTTTTGTATTGGTTTTTTTCAATTACTTTTTCTACTGCTTATTTGTACATATATATCTATTATTTATGTAAAACACAAGTCGCTTGGACCATATTTTTAGGTTCCAATTTAAAGAAACTCTCTTAAAACAAACACTTGTAAATAAAATTATAAAAGTTCCCACATTTCTAGCAGCGTTTCCCACTGATTTGATATTCACATGCCTAATTAACATGTCAATAAGTCGAGACTAGGGCCAAAAAGATGATTTTACCCCTAATGAATGCAGAAAGAGACAGGACGAGGAAAGTTGCGTGCGGAGCCGCTGAACGTGCGCCATTAAAAAGCCACGAACATCAATTTAAATATTGCATTACAATGATTTGCATAAAGGGCGCACGCATATACATAGCTAGCTCATAGTATCTACTCCCCCTCGGCAGCGAAATCACGGACATAAAACAAAGGGAAAACCAAACCCATTAAACCAATATAAATTTGCACTTTCACATGACCCCGGCGAGTGGCTCTCTGGGCTTCTGTGTGCTCATATCCGCGGTGGTTGCTGCGGTGTCGATCGACTAATTTGAATTTGAATACGCTCAGCACCACTGCACCTTTGCACCACCTTCCCACGACATCGATACGATACTATCCTGCACAATGCGATACGATCCAAGCCATTAGCAGACAAAAGAGCAGCCCGCGAGGCACCTGTAAATGTGGCACTTAGCGAAAAATTGTGAATTTCCAAACGATTAATTTTGTAAAATATGCATATATTGATAAAAAAATCCTACCTAGTAGAGAAATTATATTATTTTAAGCCTTTAAATACACAATCTTTAAATAGGAATTAAGAAATATCAAGACTAGCATTTATTTTAAAATTGTGAGTTGTAAAACAATAATAAGTGTTTGTTTGTAAAGTGTTCTGGAAGTTCCCAGTCTCAAAACAATTTTATTAAAATTTAGTTTAAAATTTTCCAATCAAGTAGGCCCTGCTCCCAAGTAGTCGACGCCCAAAAAGTCAAATCGAAATTTGAACTGCTACGCCAGTCCTAGATCTCAATTTATTCATTCGTTTCCTAGACTTCGTGGAAGTAACACCTTGGTAAGTAAAATAAATATATAAAAATTATCCTAAATTGAACAAAAAAATAATTAAAAATAACTAAAAACTTTTTTAAGGCGGCTAAAGGTTAAGGCAATGAAATGAGCGGAAGAAACCTATGGACAATAACAAGCTGACTATCCTCGGTTAGTGAAACCATAATATCAAGTAACTAAAAACTAATTCCAATATTTTTATAGTCTAAACACCCATACAAATCGTAACAAAATGTAACAAAACTAAATGTACCTGGACTGTCGCAATGCGGGTTAAAAACCATAATCCCATCATAATCATTTTATTCTCAACACTACAAAAAAGGAATACAATTAACTAATATGAATATGTGGACCATGGCGATGGTGATACTTAGAATGATGCTATACAAGGAATATAATTTTCGGCACGAATATAAAACAATATTTACAGAATTTTCACACTGACTCACTCTCAAATACAACACATATTTGAAAGTACACATTACATATTATATTGACATTAAACGATAAACAATTACTCTCACTCATGTAATTGTTAATAAAATGTTCGCTCCAAACAAAAATGTATTTTTTTCCTGTGTAGAAGGCAAATAGAAATGGGAAATTATTCTCCCCCTTGGATGGTGACCAACTCTTTGAGTGAGTTTAACCTTTTTGGCCTTTTATTGCATTATTATTGGTAAATAAACAAAGCAACTGGCAGCCAAAGCAAACACGATCGCAAGAAGAAAATCGGGCAGGAAAATCAATCAATGGAAATGGAAACTGAAATGGTAATGGAAAGGCTCTTCGGTGGCAATTAGCGACAAGCGGCGGACAGATTGCGTCGATGGAAAAGCGGGTGAACGGAAGTCATTAAAAGGGTTGCCTTGGAGTGTGTCCTGTGTTCTGCGACCATGCCCCACCCCGCCCACTGATCTTTGACCCCGCCAGCGAGCGTGTGTGCCGCCTAATTGCGTGGGACTGAAAGGGGTAGGCGTTACCTTGAGGGTTTGATCGGTAATTCGAGTAGACACCATCCCAAGGGGCAAATCGAACGAGGTCCTGAAGAGTCCTGTAGAACAGGTAATCTTTTCCGCAACTATACATAAACATCTGCATGTTAAATATATGGAAATATTTTCATTACATAAAACTTGACATGTTTTACATACATTAAAGGAAAGTCATTAATTAAACATTGAAAATTAAGTACGTTAATCAAATATTGTATTTTACTTTAAGTAGATTTTGTCAGCAAAAGTCTTAAATATTTAAAATGTAACAAATTAAACTATTCAGTTGCATTATGAACTTTAATTAGCTCAATGTATTGCAATTTAACTATCTCTATTGATTGTTCTATTTATTTATTTCTTTAATTAAAATAATATTCTCTTATATTTATAGTATAATATTATTTTTTTGTAACAGCAGGCATTATTTTTCCCCATAAGAGCCAACTGAGTCAACAAGAAAACAAGGTCAGGGGTTGGGTTTTTGGAGCAGAAACTGCCACCAAGTGGTCAGCCCAGTGAGGAACTGAGGAACTCCATAAATCAGGGACTCCAGGAGCTGGGGTTTTTGGCCGGACAATTGACGTCAACAATAAGTAACAATGATGTCAACTTGTAATTGAATTGATTGACAATATTTTATGTGGAACCAGAGGCCAGAGCAGCGCGACATTTCCGGGGGACATTTGACGAGGGGAGCCAAAAGGACCCTTAATGACAGAATTTGTTTAGATTAGCATTAATCGGGGGGTTTGGGGTGTTGGGGTGTTGTTGTTCGATGGACCACTGGGTGAGTGGCCATAAAAAACGATAAGGAGATTCAATAAAAATACTTTAAGCGGAAAAACAAACTTGAATGGCGATAAAAAAAATAAGAGAGTGCACACACACAAAAGGGGGAAACCAACTCCGCCCGGACGATTGAAAGGGCAAAAAAAAAAGAAAAGAAAAGGAAAGCCAGGACAGCAAGGACAGCAAGAACATGGACAATATGCTCGGAAAGGACACCCCCTCAGGAAAAGAAGACCGAAAAGAAACTGCGCTTTTTAACTAATGAAATCGTTTGCTAAATGAAACGTGAAAAGTCAAATCAAATCAAGCCCAGCCAGGGTTACATTTCCTTTTTTTTCCTAGCCAGCGGAAGCGGAAATGTGTCGCCGTTCAGCGGCAGACAGGACCAAACAGGGCCAAAAAGGAGCAACAAATAATTGAAAAAAATTTTAAAACTCAATCTCGACTGCGGTTACGCAAAACCAATTTAAATCCACTTGAGAGAGGCGAAGTTCACTCGATTTTCAAATTGGGCTGGGAATCTGGATTTATATTTGATGTGTGGCTAACTGTGTGTGCGTTTCCGTTTCCGGAAAGTGGAGTTGGAGTTGAAGGTGGAGGTGGAGAAAATGGAGAAAGAAATGGGTAAAGGGGGGTTTGCGGCACAGTCACTGCGGTCTGCACTCGGCTGTGCGATTAATTTGCTGATTTATTCGCAACGGAAGGGTTGCTTAATTCCCGCTGACGGCTCTTTTATTTATTTACTCGTCCAGCCTGGACGCAAAACAAAAGTAACTAACATGGACCCAACCCATAGACCGCAGGGGTCTATAACCGGTTTACATGGGGTATACAGGTTCAGTTAAAAAAAAAAAAACTATTAAAATAATTTAGACTACCTCTTTAATAAGGTTTGATATACCAAATGAAGTTGGTTTTTTATATATAGGTAATTATAACCCTATTAATAACATTGATTACTTGAATATTAATATACTTGTACTTAAACTATATTGCAATATTCAAATGGGTTCGACAGGCACAAACAAAAAAAATGATTACAATTTTTTTTTCTTTAAGAACAAGTATATATTAAATATGGAATGCTTTATTAAGTTTAAGAGGAATTAATTCTACGGTAATATTTGATGTCATCATATGCCTCAACAAAAAAAAAACCCCCCCATTCAACTAGACAGGCGAGGAATAATTTTCAGCGGGCCAAAAAGTTTATCGTGGATGCCTTTGCTTTGATTCATTTGCCTTCTTCGGGTTCTTTGCCCGTTTTCGGATTTCTTTTTTTTGTTCTGGTTTGCATATGCACAAAAGTTGTTTGTCGGACCCGCTAGCCAATTACTGCAATGAACAAACACAAACACAAACACAAGCACAAACACAAGCACAAACACACCCAAACACGCATAAATATCCCGAGCCAGGACAGCTACGTAATGCCACGTCCTGGAGTCCTGTGTCAGTGGTCGGCTGGATTTGTATACTTGTTGTCTGGTTATCAACTCGCTTCCGGAACTTAATGGCCTGAATCCTTTTGCTGCCCTGATTTGACTCCTCTCCTGTGCTGTTCTCCAATGTCCCCTTGCAGAACTCAGACGAAGTGCATTGGCCTGTGAGATCCAGCGAGGCTAACCCTTGTGAACTTAACAAATCCAAACGAAGTCATCAACATGCTAGTGAATTGGGCAATATACATATGTTGATCAATGTTTCACTTCACATTAAATAAAAAACTCATAGCTTGATTACGAAATAGAATTTCTCAGCTAAAACCCAATAACCCCTTCATATCCAATTTTTTACGCTGTTGCTCCAATAGCAAGTAGTTTAAATTTATGAAAAAATTTATGTATTTACATTTGAGGTTTTGTTTTTGTGTAGATTTTTGAATATTTTGAGACAAACCAACTATTTTATACTGCTAATGATAACATTTCATTGCCCTTGCTTAAAACCGATATGAAACCTAAGAAAACAACAAATATAAAGTATTTCACAAAAGGAAAACTATAACCAACGACAGTTCAAGCTGGATTATCTCTGAGATACAAAGGAGGGCAATTTACGATGCAGGAATCCGTCCATAACGGAATTCCCTGCCCGATTCCGCCATCTTTTGTTTGTTTTGCTCCGTATCTGCTTTGTTTTTAATGCGCTTTTGATGAAACCATCATGTCACATTACATCAAACCAAACCAAAGCAAACCAAACAGGACAAAACAAAGCCAAACAAAGGGAAGAATAAAACCGAGTATATGGTATATCAGACGCACACGCAGATGCCCGACGAATCCGGCGAGTCCTTCCAGTCCTGCGGGGGTGTCGAGGCACACAATTCCTCCCAGGACACAAGGATTTCGGCCATTTAGCAGCGGCAGCCCAAAATCTCATAAACACTTTGCTCGGCACAAATTGAAATCTGGTTAGCAGGATGGTGAGGAGGGGTGCTAAACAAACATTGACACGCCGTTCAGCGCAGGAGGCTGAAATTTCAAAAGAACAGTGGGAAAAAAAAAGCCAAGCAAACCAAAAACTACTTGATTATTTTTCATTAGCTTTTCCCAAAACTTGTTGAAAAAGATGCTTATGTGTGTAGTTTTGAATCAACTATGCTATAATCAGTCAATATGAATCAATTTAAGATGTCTTTTTACAAAATTTGTGCACATTTACTCTATGTGACACTCTATGGAGATATTTGATTCTTTAATTTAATTTCTTAATACGCTTAAAACAGACGGAAATGAAATAAGCGGATAGTTTTGATGAACTAAGCTTATAATTATTTGTTTGAAAATTATTTAATAAAACTGCTACTTTTGTATGCATAAATTAATGACATGAGGAATTTAATTAGAATTTAAGTGATATTTTCTCTCTCTGCAGAGGAAACAGAGTTCATGCGTGCAAATCAAAGTGAGCTAGGCAAGTGTGGCCAAAGGACAAAGGGCAAAGTGCAAAGGGCAAGAAGTCAGGGGTGTGGACGTACCAGATCGGAGGGGGTTCTTCAGGGTGGGGCAAGTGGGGTTGGTGCACAAACACATTTATTGACTTGGCCGGAGCATTTAGCCCTGATGCGTATTAGCTTACGACGTGGCACTACGCCCGTGGGACAAGATTCATGAGCCTTGTTATTCCCTTTCCGAAGGATGTGCGAATAAGGGGTAACTGGCAGGCGAACTGCGGGATTTTTTATTGAATTTGTATGGGTTCATAATGGGGATCGTTTAGCAAGAAGGTCGTACAAGTCATTTACAGGCAAATGCTTTGAAGAAAATCCAAGGCAACGACACGAGTTACACAAGAAGCAAAATGTTCGACTTTTAAATTATTTTGACGTCTTGAAATATTAAACAAATAAGTCCCAAAATTTGATTGAATAATGCCAAATTATATGCAGCCAAAGAAATCAGGACTTAATTAGAAGCTTAACTAGGTAAATCGTTCTTTGTTTGTGGAATCAAATAAAATAAAATACTTGGCGCCCAAGGTGGGTCTCGCGTTAAAAGAAAACAATACATATAGAAATCATATAAAAATATTTAAAAAAAATTAAATTTGTTCCTTTTTTTAATTTAAAACTGACCAAGTCGACTTAATTTAATGCAAGTGGCATTTAAGAGGCTAAACAATTATATTATTATATTATAAGTGTTATTATAATTACATAACACTTAATTGTAGTCATAACCCTTGGCACAGACTTCCCTTTCATTTGATTAGTACACTAATTCCAATTCTAACCCCAGTCGAGTACATATTCCCCGCCGGCAATTGACTCCGGAACCCTAAAAAAATGAATTGCATTTGTCTAATCACAATTTATTGACCCTCAGACTCGATGACCCTACGACTTCAGATCTCGTCCGAGAGCAGGATGACATTAGGTAGATTTTGAGAAGGGCGCGGGGCACTCCATGGGTCTTTGTGGGTCCATTGTGACTGTCATTGCAGTCGAACTGTCGGAATACTCGTATAGTCGTCGAACCCCTGCCCTGTTCCATTGTGTTTTTTAGTACTTCCTCGAGCGGAGAGCTCCGAACTGAGCCAACAATGGCTGGGCGGCAATGTGTCATGCTTGTTGATTTGTAAGGATGCAGTGCAGCCGCTGGAATTGTATTGACCGGAAAATCATAAAGCTCTTTGTTGCCGGGAGGAAATCAAATCGAAGCGGCCTCGTCATGGAGCTGGACCATCTTTTCGAAACCGGAAATGTTGCCCAGTGCATTTAATCTCTGTCGCTCTTCGATTTTCCATTACCCGATTATAATCCTTCCCCTTTTTTTTTCCGCGTTTCCTTCGTTTTGAAAAGTCTTTGCTTCCGCCGCAAAAGTTGCTCCGATCGTCGGCGTCATTATCATGGAAAATTGTTTATAAGTTGACAGGCAGTAAACAGGATTTGCCTGCGGGCATCGGAAGTGGCAGTAGAGGGGGGAAATGCTATGAAGTCAAAGTTAGGATCCAAATTAACTTCCAACTATGACAGGAAGTCAACTTTTCCCCATGTGTGTGGGTGAGTATCTATCTGTGTCTGTGTGTGTGGTCTGTTTATCTGTAAATCGGAAAATGTGGAGCAAATGGAAAATCGAATGTGACAAGAGGTTAAAGTTCAGCCAGCACGGAAACTGATACTTAAAATAAAGGTAAATCTGTTGTTATAATTTTTCTCTGTAAATGGACCATGAATCCTAGTTTGTTACGTATACAGGAAATGTAAAGTTTCAATAGTTTGAAAATAATTTTTCAACAAAACTTTGAAACTTCATAAAGATTTCGTAAATTTTCTTTGCTAATATTATTATTAAATTATTATTTTTACTATTTATTATCGTACCCCATCAGCGCTTTCCGGCTGGCTTGGCATACTTGTTCTTGGTGGGTTCAGGTATTTCATGGATCTCTGGCAAATGACCCATAAATGACACGCACACAAAACGATTTCCCGCCGCCTGAGTTGACATGACCTGACCTGAATGAGCAATGTCCAACCAGCACTATCTATATATCTGGATCCCATCCACACCCACTCTCCCACTCTCCCACTCACTCACCACTCATATGCACATCCACATTCCCCGGCACGTCTCGGGTTTCCTTCGGCTGAAGCTACATATGTACCTGCACAGAGAAAAAATAAGATGGTTTACAAACTTTTCTTTAAACTATGTTTGTTTTAATAGGTTTATTTTTGTAAATTAGTAAATTCATAGAAGTCTACTTTTTTAATACAGTTTAAGTTTTTATTGAAAACATTTTTATGAGCATAACAATATCAAAACATGGATGGGTGTAAAAAGATTGAAATGATACCAAAATTTAAATAAATATTATCAAAATGCTATTTTTTTACGATCAAAGAAATATAACTTGAAAACAATAGGATAAACTTTACTTTCAACACAAAATTGATTAACAGATGGTATAAATTTAGTACCGTGTACTTTACCGCCTGGCTTATCCATTTATGAGTGCACATTAGCCATTATGATTTATCCACATGAGAGGGGGGAGGCGGGTGGTTGGGTGATTGGGTGGTGGACAAGGACGAGCGCCGTCCGGTAAGTGACGCTGTGCATTTAAGTGGAAACTATAGATAATATTTTTATAGTTGCACTGCCACCGATTGAGTGAGTGAGTGAGCGAATAAGTCCGTGTCCGTGCGTTCGTTCGTGCCTTTGGCTTGGCCAGTCTGTTTTGTATATTAAAATGTTAGCCGCATTGAAATTTATTTTTGCCGATTTCTTGATTTATGACTAAGCATTTTCCTTAAATTCACCAAACCACCCAATCACCCAATCCCCCCACCATATACATATACTATACGTTCGTATATTTTGGTAACTGTCCACTGGTCAGCAAAAGATGCGTCAGCGTTTAATTTCATTTTCGACATGTGCCGGGCATTAAGGACTAAAAGAGAGAGAAAAAGGCGATACCAGAAGGAGCCGCCTAATTGACAGATACAATTTGCTTTTGTCCTGCAACTGCGAGTCAAACGAATGGGTAGGATGGGTGCTTTAGTATAGCTGCTTAAAGGTTTTGCGGCACTACGTGACTTTGGCCTGAACATGCGGACCAAATAAACGAACACGGAAGCGGATAAGCACATGCATTTGATTCGAACTCAAAGAGCTGAAGGAGTTAACCCTGTCAACGGGTCTAAGGAACCTGGGATTCCATTTTGAAATTGGATTGTCGGTAATGAAATTAAAGATGAGAAATGAACAATAGTAACCAGTCATTTACTGAATTCGCAGATTTAATAGAGAAAAAAATACATAAGCCATTTACTCCGAAAAGTATGCAACTTAAGCATGATTTTATTTGCAGGTCAAAAGTTAAGATAAAATTATTATTTAAGCTGAAATCGCTGATGATTTTCATACCTACGTTTTAAAATCAATGATGGGGTGATTAATAATATAAAGTTATATTTTAGCTTTCAACTAAATAAGTGAAACTAATATTTAGAACTTAAATGCATAAGTTTTTAGTATTGCTATAGCTTTTTATTGATTTATCTATATTTTTCGAAAAGTATAGAGTTTGAATACATCTTATTTGAAATAAAAAAACATAGCATACTGTGCGTTTCATAGCCGTAAGACTTTCCAGCTTTTGCTGCCTCCTCTTCTTATTAGCCTCGAGTACATCAATCATCGGCTTGTTTTAATTTTAAAGAAATCGCACACCCCCTGCGGTGGGCCATGGGCACTTAATTAAATCCCCTGCCGCATGCCACACCCACCGCCGCCCACACCATCCCCCGGAATCTCGACCAACCACGTCCGGAATCCCGCCCACAAAAACAGAGGAATCGACGACGTACAGAAGCCATCTCTTTCCTGCTCCTTGGGAAATTTCCCACTCGACAAGGGAAATTTCCTTGCTCAAGGAGCGCCATTTTGAGAGTTTTCCGAGAGTTTCCACCACACACCACATCATCACTCCCACCCGTTTTCCGAAGGCTCAAGTTCCTCGTTTGGTGTGGCATCAAGATTGATCTATTTTAATAAGCGAGAGGCTTAGAAAATTTTGATTACGAAAAATGCAAATTACGAAAGCTGTAAAATTTCAGAAAATTTTTAATTTACTGCCACAGCGCTAAACCCAGTTTAATTAATGTATTTAATAAGCTAAAGAAAACAAACGGGGATTAAGTGTTTTGTTTTACTGTCATTTTGCAGCTTTTTGTTCTTTATGGTAGATCGTAGAATGAATCGTTGAAAAAAATACATTTTGTTTGCGTTTAAATTAGTGATCTGATGTAGTTGGAATAAATAATTATATATACGCTAAAGCTAGTCCGGACCTTCTCCATTTTATATCTATAGTTATGCTTCATAGTCAAGCTAATCAAGCTAATTATACTCCATCGTCGATTTGCGTGTAAAAATAAACTCTGTACCAGGCAATAAAAAAAAAAAAAAACACTACCTTACCCATGTACAGTGGTCACTGGCTGGGAGAGTCTCATCGTTATCCTTGGAGTGATGGACCGAGCCGAAGTGCTTTCGTCACCTGAACAACCTTCGAAGCTCCATTAAAATTAAACTTTAAGCTTAAACTTAGTGCTAAAAGGTTCGTCTGTAAAACCGAAAAACAAACAAATGCATTTTACAGATGCGATGCCTTAATATGTGCCACTGCACCGAGTGACCACTGTACATGGGCAAGCACATGGACGTAGACACACTAAAACAGAAGGAAAGTTTCAGAAAAAAAAATAAAAAGCGTACTAGCTAGGCGAATGGATTAAAAGATTTGCTTGCTGTCCAGACTGGAAATGCTGAATATAACCAACAACAACAACAAAAAAAAAGTATTTAAAAGAAAAAAAAACACGAGATGTATATTGGAAAATAAAGCGAACCCTACAACTACTACACAAAAGAGCCCAAGTGAAGGGCAGCAGACGCTCCTCAAGTTCCCACTTCTTCTAGGTCTCAAAGTACTTGTAGATAGCCGTCACATAGGACATCACCTGCATCCAGTCGGGTCGTTCGATCTGACACATATCATTGATGTTCTGGTAGCGAATAAATTGTTCAGATAATAATACAGTTTCGTGGCAAATGGGCTTTAACAAGGAAACTCACCAGGGTGGTGCCAATTCCCACGGACTCGGCAGCCGCAAATGCTAGCGAAAAGTTGCGCCGCTTGTTGGCCGGACTCAGTTGATCGTACGGAATGCGATCCGGCAAATACGAGTGCAAGATCGCACAGAAGGCCAGGCCATCGTTCCACGACGAGCTGAAGTTGGTGATGTCGATGTTGCGGTAGCCCACTGTCTTATTCTGGCACCACTTCAGCAGGGCGTTACGCTTCGAGCCTCCGTTCTTGGCCAGCATGTTCAGCGGGTCCTTGCGTTCGCCTGAAAAATGTGTGATATTAAAGCCATTAATATTAATTTATTGTTAATCTATTAGATTTGCATGTCAATCATTAGAATTTAACTTTAATAGATCCAAAAAAAAACTGTTCACATTTATATTGTTGAGTATGATTTAGCGTATCATAAAAAAAAAATTGAGCTGATAGTAGTTTTATGGATCCAGAAATAGTGAAATTTTGTGTAGGTGACAATTATTTGTTGTACAACCGGCGAAATATATAAAAGTTTATCTTCTAAGGACGAATATTCCATGGTCAAGCTAACTCAATTTCGCACAGAAAATTAGATTTAGAGTTTCAGAAATTTCCTCAATCAAAATGTTGAGAATTGGACTTAAAGTATATAAAGTATTTGTAGCTTCGTACCGCTTATGAAGGACTTTGAGACATTGCCAAATGGCAGCCCACTGCTGCTGCTGCTACCCGCACTGCTGGGCGTGGCCGGCGTCGAAGGCTGGGAAACGTTCTGGATCTGAATCTGGGCCTGGATCTGGCTTTGGGGCGTTGTTATCGCAGTCTGTTGCTGCTGCTGCTGCTGCTGCTGCTGCTGCTGCTGCTGTTGATCGCGCAGCGGCAATGTGGCTTTGGTAGTGCTAGCTGGTCCTCCTCCGCTGCCAGCCGAAATGTTAGCTCCCGTTCCGGTGCCCGATTGATTGCCCACATTCACGTGCAGGTTGCTGCTCTGCAGCACAGGCAGGCGAAGCTGTGAGAGATACACGACCACCACGGTCAGTAAAGAGATTCTCATCACTCAGATTTGGTTCAGATTAAACTCACGCTTTCATGCCAATCACTGGAGGGGGGAAAGATAATGGGCGTAGTTCCCAGCTCCGGAGTGCCGCTGTTGAGGCTGGACGTTGAACTGTAGTGGGATTCCGCCTCGTCGGCTTTGCCCTGCTGTAGAATCCAATAAAAAAAAAAGAGTTTGAGTTAAGAAGCGGATCTCAGGGGGGAACGATTTACTAGGCCACTCACCGCCTTGTTATTCTCAATGCTCTCGATGAGCGTTTTGACGGAGAGTCGCGAATCCTGTCGGCTGAAGCTCAGCTTGCTGCGCCGCGTGGCCATCTCCATCTCACGCTGGACTGTGGACAGCACCGCCTGCGGAGTCTCCGACTGCTGCAGTTCTGCTGGGGATTTCGAAAAGGGCATTAGCCATAAGCAACGTAGACATCAACTAAACTTACGCTGCTTGGTGAGCTTTTCGAGCTGCTGCTCCAGCAGTCTGATCTTCTCCTTCTGCGTCTTGTTGTCGAGCACGAGTTGCTCCCGAGCGCTGAGCGCCTCAGTCTTGAAGTCATTGGCCACGCGCACCGTCATGAGAAGATCGGCCTGGAATTGCTGCCACTCCTCGGCCTCCTTGCGTCGCAGCTGTGTCTCCTGGTCGAGCCGGCACTCCGACTCGCCCAGCTGTAGTTGTACATCGCCCAAGTGACGTTGGGTCTCGCCCAGCAGGGACTGCAGCTGGGCCTTGTCCTCCTGGTGGCACTTGCACTGCACCTGCAGTTCGGCCACGCGTTCCTCTAGCGCCTGCCACTCGCCAGCTATTTTGTCCTTGTCCCGTTGCAGCTGCTCCAAGCGATATTCGAGGTGGGAGACCGCACACTTGGCATTGTTTTTAACCACCTTGCATTCCTCGGTCAGCCCGGAGAGCTGCTCGCGTAGTCTTCTCAGCTCAGCTTGGCTGCGCGAGCACTGATCCTGCAGCTCGGCCACACGCTCTTCCAGGGCATCCTTCTCTTTTCTGGCCACATCCAGCACATCGCTTAGGTCTGTCTTGTCTCCCCTGGCCAAATCGGCTTCCAGCTCCTCGATCTTAGAGCGCGCATTCTCCAGCAGTGTGCTTAAGCGACTTATTTCGATGGCCCGCTGCGAGATCTCCTCCTTGGCCTGTGAGAACTGAGCCTCTCCTTGCCGTCGCTCCGCATTGGCCGCATCGAGCTGGGAATCAAGCAGGGCAATCCGCTCCCTCTGGCGCTGCTGTTCCTGCTGGCCAGCTTCCCGCGCTTGCTTCAGTTCCGCCAACTCAGCTCCAAGTTCCTCCTGCTTGAGCAATACAGCCTCACGCTCCTCCTGGGATGTTTTGATTAAATCCAGAAGTTTTTGCTCCCGCTCCGACGCACTGACTTCGGAGGCAGCCGGTTTGGAATCCCGCAGGAGCAGCTCCTGCAGTGTACTGATCTGCGTGCGCGATTCATTCAGTTTCTCGGTCTGTCGGCAAAGTGACTGGAAGAGCACATCCTTCTCCTCGGCGAGACGCTCGTTCTCCGTCTGCGTGTCCGTCAACTGGGTTTGCAAATCGGCCAACTCTTGCAGAGTAGCCTGTAGTTCCTCGTTGGTGGAGTAGTGCGTCTCCTCCATCTGAATGATCTTGTCCTGCAGGCAGGCTACAGAAATCTCGCTGGAGGATGACTGTTTGTCCCAGTCGGGCGTGAGGCAGGGTGTGCCATCATGCGCATCGTTTGTCTGGGAAGGATTGTGGGATTTAGATGGATTTGCATTTGATAGAAATTGTCTGGGAGTACTCACACTGGGCAGAGCTATCGAGGCGGGCGCAGAGCTGTGCAGCCGCTGCGAGTCTTGGATGATCTGGTGCTTCTCCGCATCCGATAGCGGCGAGTTCACAACGTCCCGCAGCCGATTGCGCAGAGATTCGTTCTCGTATTTCAGGTTGCCGATCTCCATCTGGGTCTTTTCCTGTAGACTCTGTAAGCACACACATCAGACTGATCAGTTTTGCTTTCCTCTGAGCTGCAATATTGCTGCTGGCTGTTCTACGACGCAAAAGCTTTCAACTACTAGACTCAATTAAAGGAGCGCATCGTCTATAGATCGTATTGAATATCAATGGATTGGTTAGGGTAGCGAAGCGAAGCGCAACGCCCCCGAGAACACGGCTTAGTCATTGGCTAGTGGCGGGGTCTCTACGGAGAATACCCTCTATCGACGCCGTTCTACAGGCCACTATTAATCATTCGAGATTAATTTGTATTGCTCTTGGTATTTATAGACTTCATGACCTAACACAATGTACCAAAACTAAATACATTACTCATGGTTTTATATCTTTTTCGATATTCTTCAACATACATCTTCTTACAATTCATTACAGATGCAAATATAAATCGATTTCTTCAACTAAGTTGTAGAGATTTCTGCTTTAAAGCTCTTGGTAAATGCTTTTCTAGCTGTTTGGCTAAAGTCTTTTTAACTTATTATATAAATGGCCCTAGATGGTGCAAAAAGGGGGTATAAAATGACTTTGTCATGGGGAAATAGCAACTTTAACAGCAGAAACAACATCAATCAGCCGTGACAACACATCAGCAATTTGTGGTTAGCCAGCCACCCCGTTTCCGCCCACTATGCACCCCTTTTTGGCCCGACAACCCATCCCAACCCCATCCGAACCCCGTCCCAACTCTCCCCTGGTTCTTTTTGCGCACCTGCATCTTAACCAGATCGCCCTTCAGCCTGGCCACCTCGCTTTGGTATGGCAGCAGCTCCGTGATGCGTGTCTCCAGCTGCAGTTGCTCGCTTTCCGATCTCTCCAGCTGCTTTTGCAGCTCCTGCATTTTGTTGTTAGCCTGTGTGGTGGTTAAGTTTTAGTTATTAAATTTAGAAGTGAACAAACAAATAGGGGCATAGCCTTACCTCTAAGAGTTGCTGTTGCTGCTGTTCGTTGTTGATTAGTTGCTGTTGATGTTGCTGCTGTTGCTGATAACTGCTGGCTGCCACAGCGGCAACAGCAACGGCTGCTGCTGCTGCGGGAAATGCGTTGGCCGGACTATTCGAACTGGGGTTGCTGCCGTTGGCCGATGTTGCTGTTGCTGCTGCTGCTAGTTGCTGGTAGAAATCTGCTGCAGCGGCGGCAGCAGCGCCACCATCCTGCAGCGCGGCCAATGCGTTGTTGTTATTGATGTTGCTGCTGCTGTTGCCAGTTGCTGCTGCCTGCGGCACGGCTGCCAGGGAAGTCATCAGTGGATGCTGCTGCTGCTGCTGTTGCTGTTGCTGTTGCTGCTGTTGTAGCTCACTTGCATTGCTGTTTTGCTGCTGCAATGGCAATTGCTTTGGCTGTTTTTGTCCCTTAAGCTTGGATTTCTTTTGGGGCAAGGTGTTGCTCTGTAGCTGCTGCTGCTGCTGCTGCTGCTGTTGTTGCTGCAACTGCTGTTGCTGTTGTCGCCGCTGTTGCTGCTGTTGGTTGGTCAGCAGCAGCGCCTCCTCATCGCCCACATCCACGCCCCTTTCGTAGCTGGCCGCCTCCTGGTGAGCGTAGAATTTTGTCGTTGCTGCGGTGTTGTTGTGATGCTGTTTCTGTTGCTGCTGCTGCTGCTGCTGTTGTTGTGGCTGCTGCTCGTGGGCGGTATTCAATGAAGTGCTCGACTGCGACTTCTGGCGATTGTTGTTGGAGGAGTGCTGCTGCTGTTTGTGCGAAGAATTGGAGGAGTTCGAGCTGGAGGTGCCCTGTCCTCTGCGGAACAATGATTTCAGTTTGATCATTTTGCCGGCTTATCCTAGCTTGTTGCAAAACGTGAACCATCAACGGGCCAACTTAAATATTTATATTTTATTGTGCCTTTGTATTTATTTAATATGAAGCATATTGTGTATATTATTATTTTATTATTTTTTATCTTTTATGCATGATGAATGCGTTTTATATTTTGTGTGCTGAATTTTAGCTGTGTTCACTGTTTTCGTTACGAGTTTTTCGCGTTTTTACTTAATGTTTTATCAATGATGTAAATATAATATTTATAGTTTGTGTACAGAATTTAAGTTAATTTTTTTCTCGCAGTGCTCGTTGTCTTCGGTTATCGGTTATCGCTTATTGCTGGTTATTTTGTACATGCTTGTTATCACAAAACTTTTATCAAGTCAATTTGCTCTGCTTTCTTTTGATTTGATGAGAAAACGGGGCGAAAAAGTGAAATTACTGTGCGAATTGTTGGGCAGAATTTGTAATGCAAGACGGGCGACGAATAAATGAATGAAGGAAAGCGGACGCGAAATTAGAGGCAGCAACAGATGCTCATGTTGCATGCAACACCAGCAACTACTGGCAACAACAATATAACCCGTTTGTGCTGCGGCAAACAATCGCATTGCATTGTTGTTGTCACCAAGAGAGCAGCGATAAAAAAATTGAGAGGTTTAAAGAGAGAGAAACATCAAAACAAACAAACACACAATCAAAATCACAGTCACACCCAATTAATTAATAATTAAAATGCACTCGACGATCATGAAATCGAAATTGAAATTCTGAAAAGTTATCCCAGCGCGCATTCGGATTTGACTCGGATTTGGATGGAATGCCGGAATGAGGGAATGACGGACATATTGCTGTTCCGCTGCAACGTCAACGTTTCAACAGCTCACACTTGCACACACTCCCAATCACACGTACGGCGCTGAACAGCCGGGGTCAAATCAATAACACCGCACCCCTTTGCATTTCAAATGTTTTTTTTGGCACATGTACAAAAGAGAAATAAAAATAAATGTTAACAATTTTTTTAAGAGACAAGGGTTTTCTTATAAGCTTCTTGCTAAAAATAAAAACATATACATTTAAGGTAAAACAATATTTCTTTAAAGATGTTCCGCATGGATTTTATTGAAAATAAAAAGAATTTAATTATCATATGACAAGTAATAAAAATCTAAAAGGACAGAATGTTCACACGTGAACGGTTGAAATTAAGTCTTTTCAAAGTTAAATGCCAGGTGCCATAACATTGACCTTTGCTGTACGCGTGCAAACAGGCGTGAATGGTGTGTTTGTGTGCGAGTGAGAGAGGACTCTCCGCCCTTCGCTACCACTCCTACCCTGCCCCATCTCTCTCCCCAATGCAAGTATGCCTGTTTGTTCATGTGTTCTTTCCCCATTGTCACAAATATGCCGGATTACTCATGTCACGACGCGTCATAAAAACAGAGCAAGAGCAAAAAATTGAACTGCACCAACAAATGACATTGACAGCTGACCGCAGCAGCGACGTCGGCGGTGGCAGAGCTGCACTTGCAACACGCCGTCTTGGCCAGTGTTGGTAAAGGTTGTGGTTTTTGAGCGGCCGTTTTTCTGATTTCGCTTGGTTGCCATTTATGGCCTCGAATTATTTTGATTTCTTTTCTTTTTTTAGTGCCAACAGCCCACGCGAAACACGCAAATTTGTTTATTTTACTTTGGGCCTTAAATTGAAACGCAAACAGTAAAGTGACATCATGCAAACGAGCGAATCACAAATTAAATTCATGTTCTGAGGGACACTTTTTTGACTAATTGCTGATGAACACGGGTTTCGTGGTTTTTTTTATCAGCTGGCTAGGGGTTTATCTTTATCTCGTTTGCACAGTGATAAGTTGGATAATTGGTCAAAAACGTAAGGCAAACATCAGACCACTTAGCATTTGAATGTTCCTTTTCAATTACAATTTGAGAGCGCGCCCTTATTCGGGACCTATGCAACACTGCAACTGCAACTGCAGCGAAGAGAGACCAAAAGAGGCCTAAACAGGATGTGTGGGAGAGGAAAAGAGGGGAGATCGGTTTGCCCTTCAATGAGAGGCAGCAACAACAATGGAGTTTGCCAGAAAGAGCACGGTAATTGAATGAAAATCAGGGGGAGAAGCAAAGGCCGAGAGAGAGATGTGGCGGTGAATGAATCAAATAGCAACAACACCGTTTAATTATTTGCACCAGATAACTGTAAAAGGGATTTCTTTCGATTTTCGCACTCTCTTTTGTCAAAAAAAAAACCGGAATACGCCAGCAAAACAAAAAGCCAACTCCACACGCATACATATTTATTGCTCACACACACACGCAAGTACCGAGCCGAGTTTTTTTTTTTGTTTTATAAATACTAAAATAAAAACCTTTAATGTTGCACAAAGTTTGGGGGAAAATAAAAAGAGTAAGCCAAACGAGGGGAACAACGCACGACACTAAACAAACGAACAAATGGCAAAAAGCGACGCGCGTTTTCTGTTTCTTTCTGCAAACAACAACAACAAGTGTCCAGTCGAAAGCGTCTATCGATACACTCGATAACACTTCAGCCACAGGGCGCTCTCGGCCACGGCGCATGCGTGACGCGTTGTCCAACACTAATAGCGCGCCAAAAATAGGAACTTCAAATTAAAATGGGCTACAGTGGTCACATATTTTTACTTTTAAATTCATTTTCTATTACAACATATTTCGGTTTGCAAGGTATTTTAAAAAGTTTTAAGGTTTATTGCATAACAGAGGTACACGACATGTATTAAGAAACCCAATTTTCCTTACCAAAATATGCGTGTATTTCATTTTTGTTTTTGTATGTAATATTTTGTTAAAAAAAATTTAAAATTTATGTTTATTTTTAAGATAAATAAGAAGGGAGAGACGGGAGAGGGCTGTCGATTTAAGTTGTTTTCTCTCAAATTTTTAAAATTGTAGGAGCGCGTTTTCTCATTTTTTTCAATGACAGCATTTTTTACCATTCCTATAAGAAATAAAAGCTGTTGAGCTTAATGTTGATTATAACTTTTACTATGAACTATTACAATGACGAAATATTTCAAAATGCTTCAGGAATATAAACAAAAATACTAAGACGCACCTACGAAAAAAGTACACTAGTTATCGTATGAACTACCAAAGAACTTTTTTAAATGCTTTACAAAATTAATTAAATAAACATAATTAATAATTCATCGATTCAGCCTATAAAACTCGCAGAATAGACCTGAAACGTGTGCTTCTATAAAACAAATTTAGAAATGTCTTTAGTTTCATTTAACTATTAAAATTCTTGGGAAATAAAGAGGTTTAGGCCTAGGTACATTGACCAAAGTCGAGCTCCCATGGCGTTGAATGACAATTCATTTCAGTTTGCCAGCTGCTCTCCCCGCATTCTTTTGCCAGCTTTTTGATATCTTGATATTTTACCGCGTTGCGTGTGCATGCACTGAGAGAAGTTGCTTACTTTAAATTTCATTTTTAATTTTTTAAATATTGAATCTTTTATAATCCACAATTAAAAAAAAAAAATTAAAAAATTTTGGAAGACAAGCTAAAATAAAAAACATTGCTAGAAAGCTTTGATTAGTTCGATAAGTCTAATTAGGCCTCATTACCTTAAAAAGTTATTTTTTGGTTTTTTTTTTTTTTACTTATTAATCGACCAAAATATTATATAAGATACAAACAAATAATTAAGACTGATATTTAAGGTTTATTCATTAATTATATGCATTAAAGTATGGAAAACAATGCAAAATTTAAAAAAAAAATGGTATATCCAGTCTGGCAAGCACTCGATTCTATGATTAAATTTCTAAAAAGAATTTATAGTCAGTTACAGTTTCACATCGAAAGGAAGGTCCGAAATCCAATTTTAATCTATTGATCGCTATTGATGACCATATATATACATGAATACTTAATGGTTTTTAGTTTTGGAAGATAATTTTGAATATTTCACGTGTCCAAACCTTAATCAGGGTTGTTATTTCTTTCAGTGTAGGCTAGTTGGCTAATTCTTCTGATTCTTCTGGCCGCTCTTCTGGGGCTTTTCTTCTGCTGTCTCTTCTTAAGCGTGGGGCTTATCAGAGGCAGCAAAGAAGCAGCAAAATAGCCAAAGAAACCGCAAGAGGCAGCAAAGCGCGTCGCCCGTTCGTTGGGGGCATTTGCGGTTTTCTGCATTTCTGCCACTTCCACGTTTCTCTCGGCCTTAACTCACCCCCCTTTTTTTTTCCCTGTCACTTTTTCCCCACCACGTTTCTCTTTTATGATTTTTATTGTTTGCGAGCTAGGTATGGGGTACGTTTGAGGTCTATGACCAAAAAGCCAGGCCAAAACAGTGCTTATCGTTAAGGCCAACCCGCCCCCCTTTCACCCGCCCCGCACCGCTCTCCCCACCCCTCGCGGAACGCCTCTGGAAGCAGCAGCTGATAACTGCAGATAGCCCCCCCCAAAAAAACCCCCTTTTCGGATCGCATTTCGCTGGCCACCTGAGGTAACCACTGGGCAGCCAGTTACAACTTAAAAACTTGGCCATTCATTCGCTCCTGACATATTCAAAAAGAAAAAATTAAAAAAAAAAATAACACTCGGCGGCAACCAGAAGTTTTTAGGGGGGTTGTGGGGTTTTCATAGCCCCTCCGGCCATTCACTTGCGTTCGGTTAAAAAGGCGAAAGGGGCAGTTGCTCTGTGAATTTTCGTTTCTTTATGAATGTTACGCTTTGGCGCGCCAAAGAAATGTGCGCTATAGTCTAAACAGTCGGTTATATCGGTGAATGTTTTTCCCACACTCTCAGGAAGTTATGGAGTAAAGTAACAAGGTACTTTAGAACACATAAAACTATAAATTTAAAAATTTAAATCAATATACAAATCAACAACATTAAGACAGATAAAAATATTTTTAACTAAATACGATGATTAAATTTAAAATCAATAAGATAACAGAGAACACAACAATATATTCCGATATGTTCAAGCCAGAGAGATAAACAATCTTTTAAGTAATACTTCTTATTACTGAGAAAGAAGATGAAATCTGGTAATAAGTTATTGGGAACCATTTACAGATCATTTTATAATCAAAATTATAACGATTCGTTTAAAAATTCTTCATACGGAAAGAAAGATTATTTTAACTCTAAAAGTTATCATTAAAGGAAGGAGGAAAATCCCGAAAAAGTATCGCTTTTGCAGCGAACTGCGCAGTCGCTGAGAACTGTTTACCGTTTTACCGCTCGAATTATGCGCTGCTCTCTTTTGATATGTTTATGTTGGTGTTTATCGGCCTTTGTTCGCTCCGCTTGCCATATGTTATGTGTTATTTGTTATATGTTGTGCTTTCGTAGAGTCTGTGGTCTGGTAGCAATACATAGAAACACCGGCGACAATAAATTATTTTTAGAAAACGGTTTCATTTTCGCTAACATTTCTAAAAACTCTTTTTTTTTGTTGTAGTTTTTTCTTTGATGTTATAAATATTTATGCGTGGCTTCGAAGTTTTAAAGTTTCTTTGTTGATGGTTTACGTTTTGCTGTTGCTGCTATTAATGTTATTGTTGCTGGGGCTTAGAAGCAGAAAGTGGAAGTTTCACTTCCCCGAAAATTATATAATTAATGCGTTTTTAATGGTTTTCGAAAACTAGCAGCAACAATGGAATCTAGTTTAATATTTCTTTTTTTTTTTGTGTTGTACTCTTTTTACTTACCCTTCGTCCCGCTGGGAATGTAGAAGCAAAAGTAGGAGTGGAGGGAAAGGAGAGAAGGAGGCACGGCAATAATCAATCAAACGGTTCTTCTCCTAGACCCTCTCCTACTTCCTTTTTCGCTGTTGTGTTTTTGTTTTTTTTCGGTTGCCGTCTCCGCTAGTTATGCATGTATTTGTGTGGGGCACTTGCACCTTTGACTTTTTGTTGTTGCTGCACACAGAAAAAACCAAAAACTTAACAAAAAAAGATCATAAACTAAGGCCACACACACACACACACTTAAAAAACAGCTGCCGCGTTAATTACATTAGAAATTCGTAAGCGAAGCCTTGCAACAATGGGAAAAATGCAACTAATTAGCAATTATTTGCGGCTCTCTTTGTTTCTCTATGTTTTTTGTTGCACAAATTCCAATTAGAAAATCAGCCGCCATCTGCAAATGCATTAGTCCCGTTATTTTGCAGACAGAGCGCAGAGTGCAGTTAGGGGAGAGGAGTGGGGCACGCTGCCGTGGAGAAGGGGGAGCAAGCGAGACCACAAATAGTGACCTCCACTCGTTGGGCAATTAATATTCATTTAGTTTTCTTCAGTTTTCCTCTGCAACAATTAACAATATGACTTTGCACTGGATGCTGCAACTGCGCTGCCTGCGCTTCGAATTGTTGTTTTATTTATAGATGTCACTGATTCTCCGATTGGAATCACAGGCGTTCGCGGGGATTACGATTACCGATTGGGATTATTGGTGTTATGGGGATTACGGTTCTACAGGGGCTATCTCCAAAGTACCGCCTGCAATATGGTTCGTTTTGTTATTGTTGTTATCGCCAACGATCCGCTCGGCGGTCAACGTCGTCGCTGCTTTTTTTTTTGTTGTTTATTTTTTTTCGCTGTGTGACCGTTGCTAGAGCGCCAAAATTTACCCTGTGAACGGGCGGAAAAATACCAAATAACTCGGCTTTTAAATACCAACAAAACGGTAATAAACAAATTCAAAAACAACTTGGCTTATTTATTGTTTATTATAACTGCCAACAGGAATCCTAATGATATGCGCCGGATAGCTAATAGATATAGTTGTCCGATCCAAAAAGTTATCCATTGAGAATTTGTTTTTAAGCTGAGCTAGTCAATTGCTTAAAAGGGGCATGAATTTATCAAATTTACTAACAAACTTTGCTCCATCTGAAATTAGGCCAGAAATACCGCATCAGCATAAAAAAATGTCTTCAATTGTCCTATTTATAAGCTTTAATCGGTCGAAAAAAAAGATGGTTCACTAAAACTAGACAGGATTCCGGTTACTCCTTGACACGCTCCACTTCGCTGGCGTCGAAGGGCACCTCTTCAACTTTGTGGAATCCCGAGAACCGGATGATCTTGCCAGTACCTTCCACCTTAAGGTGCTTGGCGAACTGCTGGGCCGGCGACAGGGCCAGTTCCTCCTCCGTCTTGTAGCCGTAGTACTTGGCCCAATCGTTTCGACCGGTATAGACCATGTAGCAAACGAAGCCGAAAGCCTGCCAGGCCAATATGGCGTATCCGATGCTCAGACGTCGTTTCCACAGCTCTGCGCGGTGCTCCGGAATGGGGTTTGTGTTGCGTCGCACCCAGCGGCGCAGCCACTTCATCTCAAACAGCGCCATCGTTTCTGGAAACTCTGTTTATTTGGTAAAATATTCAATTTGTTATGTAAAGTAACGAGGCAAATCGTAAACAAACGTACAGCTGATTGTCAGTGCTGCCGGACATGCGCGATACTCATTGGCTGGCAACTCTGTCCCGCCAACTGTGTCAACGGTGCTTTGTGAACAACCAGAAAAAGTGTTGCCAGCTCTCACTGTTAATAGCTAAAAAAATATTTTAATATATCTGAACATATAGTTTGGGATTTTTTTTGAAATTATGTTTATTGAACTTATTATCCTGATTTGATAAAAATAGCATTTAGCCTCGTATTTTAACCATGTGTGAAAAATTTAAAATTTTTGTTAAGAATATGTTTTATAAAACACAAGCTTTTAGCCTAAAAATAAAGCTTTCTTTTTGACTAAGTACATTTCAAAGGACCTGCCTAAAACAAATCGGCCAAGGAAAAAGCTAAAACTGCTGTCACCTGCAATTCTCAAGTGGCCGCTTTCGAAAATAGCCTGGCTACAAACTAGCCGAATCGGTAGCACTGGCCAGAACAGAAGATAATGAAACTCCGATCGGGGCAAACAAAGCTACCGTTCGATTTGCGCAAATCCGTAACGATCCCATTTCCAAACCGAAGTCAAACCAGGAGAGATCAGGAAATCAGCAGACGGCGATTGGGTGAGTGAGTAATGCAACGGAATCGGTGGCAGAACCTTCAGGAATATTATGATTCGCAGCCCGCTGTTTCGCAGCCGGGGTCGTCAACTCCCACTGGAGGTTAGAGGGTGCTCCAGCTCGTGTCGTCGACGTCGCCCCTCGTCGTCCCTTTGTAAACACGTGGTAAGGGTAAGTGTTGGATTTAATATCGGCCCCTGTCTCTCGAATGACACAATGTAAATTTATAGTTCATTTTATTGACTGGAATTTGGAAGCTGGAACACAAAATGCCCACCACTCAGCATTCGCCACAAGGTCATGGTCATGCCCAAGCCCACGACCACTCACTCCAAGGACACGCACTGGACAAGTATGACGGCAAGGATGCGGCTGCCGACAACAGCAACATGCCCAATCTGTCCACTCTGTCGCTGGACGAGCTGAAGCAACTGGACAGGGATCCCGAGTTCTTCGACGACTTCATCGAGGAGATGTCCGTGGTGCAGCACCTCAACGAGGAGCTAGACTCTATGATGAACCAGGTGGAGAGCATATCAAGTGGGTAAATGAATGCGCAAAAACTGGGCACATCCATTACAATCTCCAATCCAATCCAGGGGAGAACGAGAGCAAGGGCAGCCATCTGGTGGAGCTGAAGCGCCGGCTCAGCGATGATTACACAGCTTTAAAAACACTGGGCGAGAAATGCGACCAGCTAAATAAGAAATACTTGAAAAAGTCCGAGGAATACGCACCCCAGCACATAAGGGTGAGTATGGAACACTTTGAAAATGGGGAAACAGAATGCGTTACCAGGTAAAAATAGATTGGGAACCGGTTGCTTCTTAGAAACCAAGTTTAATTGCACTTGTGTCCTTTTTATAATGCCCCTTTGTCTTACTTTTCCGCAGGAACTCCTTCAGATTGCTGCCTCCAATGCCGATGCCGACTGTGATCGGCATGTGGAGCACTTCCTGAATGGAAAGATCGATGTGCAGACGTTCCTCAACACGTACCAGAGCTCCAAGAAGATCAGCGCCGAGCGCAAGGCCAAGGAGGAGCGACTGGGCACCCAGCTGAGTGCCCTGGAGCGGGCCGGCATCTAGGATGGCCGGTGGAAGACATTGGCTGTGCAGTCCACTCAATGTTATCTCATCCCACTCCTCCGTTCGCCACGAGTCGCAATAATAGAGTCTAAGCAGGATAATCAACAGAGAAACCGAATCGAACCGAACCGAACCGATCAGAGATATGGATCCAGAGCAGAGTCAGAGTCAGAGTTATATATAAATGGTATAAGGGATCCCAGAGGATCCCCGCAACGGAACAGAATGCTAAACAGTAGTGGAAAGCTAGTTTAAACCTATATTTTAACACGTGTGAATCGGTAGATTCGGTGGCTTGTAATTCTAATTATTTTCCTAAAAACGGAACGCTATGTGTTATTTCCCAATTCCAAAATACAGTCCCAAATTCAAGTCGCCTGTATTACCCTTAGGTTATATAAATATTTTTGGTCCCTAATTTTGTCCCATGGCCAGCCGAATCAATGTATTTGTACTATGTATATTTAATAAACTTTATGATTTATCTGATTTTATGATTTATCTGATTTTGAGGTGTTTTCACCATCTCTTTCTTTTTGGGGACTGCCTCTTAAGAATGCTTTGCTGTTAAACAAACAACAACATATTTTTAAGCTAGGTTTTCAGGTATTCTTAATAATTAAAATTTGTTTTAAAATTTTTAAATTACAATAAAAACATATGTAACTAAAGGATCTTATTTGCTTCTTATTATTATTTATTAATTATGAGAGTTTAGCAATTTTTCATGTTTTAATGAGACTAAATAGTTACATTTTAGCTTTACATTATGATTATATATATTGAACATCTGTTGTTTTATTATTTATTTTGTTTTATGCATATTTGTTTTTATTTTTTTTTAGAAATTTCAAAAAAAAAGAGCTTGCAATTTTCTTTTGGCTTTTGCGATTAAAATCATAAATAAATATAACGGTCTATATCTCTTTAATATTTTTTAAAAGATATGTTTTGGCAATAGCATTCTCTTGTTTTATTTTAGTTTTTAAATTTAAAAATACCGCCCAAAATCAGCTGTTCGAAATCAAAACTTATTCAAACCTAAATGAGTCTGAAGACCTTCGCCAATATTTTTGTAAATCTAAAACCCATCTCTTTTGTTTTCAAACAATAAACAATTTTAAATATTTAAAAAACCATCTGGTACTCTTAGTATTTTCTGGTATTTTCAGTCCCCCACTTTTCTAGCTATAGATAAGCTATTTATCTGAAATTTCCCTAGTGACTTACCACCCCCCCCGCTCCACCAACGATCTTGGCCAGGAATGAAGTGGGCCAGCTAGCTGATAGTGCTCCGCCCATTTGCCCACTGCCCACTGCCCCCATCCTTGCCCTTGCCCCTCATCCACTGGGGTCACATAATCTCGCGCCGATAAGCGGAACGGAACGGAACAACAAACCCAAATCAAACCAAATCCATAGTGCATTTGCAGCGATAACGGACACTGGAGGCGACATGGCTCAAACCACCGAAGTGCTGGTCTTTGGCTCGGCCATCATAGATTTTATATGGTGAGTGGCCGGAGAAATGCCTAAAGATCTGATCCAATTTGGCCACTACCTTGCAGCTACACCCCCCGTCTGCCGAAACCCGGAGAGACACTTCACGGACACCGATTCCAGACGGGCTACGGCGGAAAGGGTGCCAATCAGTGTGTGGCCGCCGCCCGACTGGGCTCACGGACAGCTCTGGTGGCCAAACTGGGGGCAGACACCTTCGGCGGTGACTATCTGCGTCAGCTGCGCGACGTGGAGGGGATCAATGTGGAGCACGTGCAGCAGCTGGAGGGCCAGACGACGGGCGTGGCCCAAATAGCCGTATCCGAGGGGGGCGAGAACAACATCATCATTGTGGTGGGCGCCAACAGTATGTTGAGCTCCTGCGATGTGGCCCATGCCGATGCACTGTTCCAGGAGGCCAAGGTTTTGGTCTGCCAGCTGGAGACACCCATCGAGGCCACGCTGACGGCACTGAAATCCTTCCGGGGCGTGTCCATTGTGAATGCCGCTCCGGCAATGGAGAATACACCACGGGAACTGCTCCAGCTGGCCGGTATCTTTTGTGTGAACGAAAGCGAGGCCGCTTTGATGACCCAAATGGCCAGCATTGAGACCGTCGAGTAGGTGGTGCTGCATCCCAATGACAAAAAAAGTCCTCTTATAGGTATACCTTCTACTTCTTTTTCTAGACAAGCTCAAACTGCCACTGCGAAGCTGATTGAGATGGGTGCCAATACGGTGGTCATAACACTGGGCAAACTGGGAGCTGTCTTCGGATCCGCCGACTCCAAGGGCGGCGAGTACCGGCATGTGCCGGCACCACATGTGCCCGCCGAGAAAGTGGTGGACACGACGGGTGCCGGCGACGCCTTCATCGGGGCATTGGCCCACAACATTGCCCGCCATGCGAAGGGCAAACTGGAGGATCACATAGCCGCCGCCTGTGCCGTGGCCTCGCAATCCGTCCAGTTGCCCGGCACGCAGGCCAGCTTTCCGCGTACTTAGTGCCGACAGATTCAGTTCGTACAATAAATCTCTTTCCTGACGTACAATGCTCTATTTAATGGTAAGCGTAAGTATAAAAAAGAAGATGTGATTTCCAACTGGTTAGACGATCAATTTTGGTCCACATGGCTGTGATTCGGCTAAAATGCTGCATCCAGTGGGTTCGGGACGTAAGGGGGTTGGAGTAGATTGTGGGCGTGGCAGCGGCGCTATGGCATCACTTCTTGCCCGACTTTTTGATCCCGCCACCGACCAGGGGTCCCTTTTTGGATGCATTCGCCTTGGCCGCGTCCAGTGCCTTCTGCTGCTCCTTCTGCTTCTGCTTGAAAGCCATGTCGTCCTCGTCCATGTCCTTGGCGTCCTTCTTAGGCGCCTTCAGTGGCTTCTTCTTACCGCCCTCGCGTCCAGACATAGTTGCTTGCTATTGCTGCGTGAGAAAACCAGTGGAAAATGAGAAAATTCCGAGGGAATAAAACAAAATATAAGTCACGCACCTTTTGCACACGTTTTTCCGATTTCCGTACGATTAACGCAATCGCTATCGATAGCTTAGCGGTTTCGATAGCTGAGGCGCGTTGAGAAGGTGGCGAAGAATAATCGTTATTTGAATTGAACAATTTGAGCGCTTTAACCTTTGAAGAGATTTTGTATCAATGATAAACGATTACAGATAGGATTTAAGAGAATTCAAAGCCTTTATCCGCTTTTTCTTTAGTCTTCTTAAACGTTTTTAAACGTAATTTCACTTCCTCACTTATAACTGCTTATTGGGGTTTCAATTAAAAATGCAATGAATTGTTTACTTGCGTTGAGAGTTATCAAAACTACTTAGCTAAAAGTCAGGCTATCTTTCAAATATATGATATTGAATGCCTTACGAAAGCCAAGTAGATCACCATTTGAAAATTATTGTTTTTCTTTTTTTGCGGCACCTTCTTTCTTGTAAATAGCACTACAGGGTGATGCCCCAAAAACAGATTTTAAATATTAATGCTAGATTAATTCGTATTTAAACATATGTAGTGTAAAAAACTAGTTGGACCAGAGAGTACCTTTTCAACTACTCCCGTATGTAAAATGTATGAAGAGAAGATGTAGCATATTTTAATTTAATTAGGGATGGAACCATCGACGACAAGCTATCGATGGCCAAAGAACTTGTTACAACACTGATGTATCGGCGTTACATCGCCGTTTCTCCCACCACTGGGCAAGTCCCCCCAATCCGCCGACAGCTGAGGCCAGGTCCAAAAGAAACCTCCACAAACACAACGGTTCTCCGCCAGATGCAGTGCACCGAGTTTTGGGGCCCTGTGAATCCTGCGTGGGACTGGGATTCCGAATCCGCCCAACTGCGGGTCCGTCCATCGGCATCCGCATCCGCAGCCGCATTCCACCGAGCGCAGCATCCGCATTCGAATCCGCGGACCCAAAAGAACGGTGAGTTTCCCAATTCCCAACCAAAAATTCGGATTTCTCTTTTTCGGAGGGAAAACGTAAGGTGGGTTCGGAAAATACGGAAAAACGGGAAATACGGGAAATGAAGGTGACAAGGCTGAATTGCGTGACGGCAGCACTACAAATTGGATTATAGCACGTCGTTTGATTCAGACTGAAAGATGTAAACAATCTCGGACGCTTTCCTGTGCACTGAGAAAAACTACTTAAGAGTTTACCACCTGAAAGTCTAAAATATTAGCAATTTAAAAACTAAATAGAACTAATAAATATACTCAGAGTCCAATTGAAAATCGAAAGAATCGAAATCAAAAGTAATTTTTTTTTTTTTAGTTTAAATAGGGATTGTTATATATTAAAAGTTCAGATCTAGATAGGAAAAATACAGTAAATTTGGGCAATTTCAAATGAAAAAGTTCAAAATATTTGAAAAATTCGAAATTTTCTCTCAGTGACATTATCCCCCACCCGCTGTTTGGTAATTGCCAATATACGGAATGGAATGCCCGAGGCATCTATTTTTATAGCGATTAGCATAGTCGTTATGGTGATGAAGTTCATCGGGGGGCGACCGTTATGTTTTTCCACCCTGTCACCCCCGCGGCTCCCAATGGGGCATACTTTTGGGGGTTGGGGGTCACCAGTTTACCACCCACTATCGCTCGTTTATTGAAAAGCTGTCATAATTGAATGAGGGGGGAATTTAGAAAAGCCCCTAAAAGTTTTCAATCGCCTTAAGTGTTGGCAAATATTTACTTGTTCTAAAAATACAGTAATTAAAAAGTTATTATAAGGTCATTTCCACCGGTTATTAAGCAGCATATAACGAGTATTTCTGCCTCATTAATTCGAAAACCAAAAAGTTTTTCAGGGTTATAAACTTATTTAGGTTCTATAGAACCCCTTCAAGTCCATCAAATTTTAGACTTTGAGACTTGAGTAAATATTACCATAATTACATGCACTTCATTATAGAAAAATTCCATTTCCTCGTATTTGGACTTTAACATACTTGCATAAGTCTCAATAATGAAGTCATTAGAAATGGGCAAATGAGTAAATTCATTAAATAGCCATCAGACATATGGATCTATATGGATAATATGATTACCTGTTTTTTTTTTTTTTGTTTACCCACGCATATGCAATTATAATTCAAGTCAGATGTTTGATTATATAGAACGTAATTAATAGCTTGCAACTTGTTTGATATAAAAGCAAAAAAAAAAAAAAATAATTATAATCGGCTTACCGAAGTTACCTTTCTGTCCGAATAAGATCTATTTTGACTGCAGCTGCAATTGAGTTCCGAGAACCCCATAATCGTATTCCCGCCTGTGAGGGAACAAATATCACCATCGATTTTATGGACTTTGAGCCATGTTCTCAGCCCGCGAGATAAGCGAATTTCAATTGCGGGTCAAAAGCAGTAACCTTGGCCATTGTATGCAAGTTGTTGGTGCATAATAACTGAGCATAAATTGATTGACTCAATGCTGAAACATCTCAAGTGACGGGACTGGACTGTCATGTCCACTGTCCATTGTCCACTGTCCATTGTCCAGTGATTGCCGTCGGTTGATAAGCACTCGAGGCCCAAAAGCACAAGATGATAAAACGGGGGGGAATGATAATCATTTGGCCATAAAAACGGGGAAAAGCGTGGGTGGCTGGTTTAGGCATTGGGTTTGTTGGTTTCGTTGTGTTTGTTGGGTTAGGCGGCTGGTAATCTATCAATTTTACGAGTCGGACAACCAATTTGTAATCTAATCCGCAGTCTGTCCACGATGAGCACCAGCGAAGGCAGTGGCCCCATCGGTGGGAATCTCAATCGGAATCGAAATGGCAATGGCAATGGCAATGGAACGCTCAGCCTGATGCAGGACATACAAAACAAGTACGCCTTCCTCGAGGATCTATTTAGCAAGTTCTGGAAGTCCATCATCACGTCGAACTCCAAACTGAAGCTGCAGCTGCGTAATGTCAAGTGGAAGAATGCCAAGGCCAAGAACGGCTGTGCCTATCAGCCAACGGAGGTGGGTTCTAAGCTGCATTCCGCTCACATATTGTGTGTATTTGTAAAAGTAAAACGACATTTGTTTTGTTTTGTTTTGTTTTGTTGCCAACAAAACAGATTGAGCAGGTGGCCAATGTGATTACCCACGGGATTTGGATACTGCCGGCCGTGTTTGCGGCCATAAAGCTCTTCGAACGCTCATCCAGTTCCAGCCAGTATTTGGTGTCCTGGGTGTACGGCGGCGCACTTTGCATGCTCTTCACGGTGTCGACCTTCTTTCACTGCTCCTGCTACTGCGCCGAACACAAGTGAGTGACCCAGATAACCTTTTGGTCGATTTCTGTAGCACTGTTGCACTGTTGCACCTTTTTTCAATCGCTCTTTTTCGCCTGTTTAGACCCCCAAGGAATGTGAAGGCGTGGCCAAGTTTGGGCTGGCAGACGTACCAGGGACTAAAGAACGTGCTGCATCGATGCGACCGGGCCATGATATACGTCTTCATCGCCGGATCCTATTTCCCGTGGCTCACCCTGGAGAACACCGACCACTCGGCCATTCTCTTCTGCATGGAGTGGGTCATCTGGCTGATGGCGGGCATTGGAATTGCCTACCAGCAGGTGGGTTATGCCCTAATTTACCACATTTTGTTCTAAAGTCTCAATACACTCATTTTTTTTATATTTTTCATTCCAATTTGTCCATGTTAAAGTATCCTTTTTATGCATTGCAAATGCATCTTTAAACTTGTGTTTGTATATCATAGGTATTTTTGAATATATATATTTATTGTTTTGATATATATATATTTATTTTGAAATCTAAATTCTAGCACTTTTGATATTTAAAAGTAGAATGCATAGCTGTTAGTTTTTTTATCTTCTAATATTTTTTAAATTTTTAAATCTAAACATCTTTTTATTTGCCTATATGCGATATTTTAAATAGGAACTCAGGATTAGAATATACTTACATTCAAAGATGCCAAACAGTTTATATTTTTGCCAGACTCAAAGACTTTGAATCATAGAATTTGTGGTTATTTTGAATTTTATTATATTTCTTATTTTAACTTAATCTTATACCAAATCATATTTCAACATATTTTTACCCACCAAAACAGCTCTTTCACGAACGCTACAAGTGCCTGGAGACGTTCTTTTACCTGGTGATGGGCCTTGGTCCGGCTTTGGTGGTGGTGTTCACTGGCCACCACTTCCACGGAATGCTGCAGTTAAAGTTCGGCGGCGCCTTCTACATCCTGGGCATTGTGTTCTTCAAGGCGGACGGAATGATACCGATGGCCCATGCCATCTGGCACCTGTTTGTGGTGCTGGCCGCCGGATGTCACTACTACGCCATCCTGGTGAACCTTTACCCGGGCGATGGAGTCATCAAACCGTGAGCAATGCGACGGAGCAGCAGTTGGGGAACACAGCGAATTTAGACCTTAGTACTTAGTACTTAACAACAGGGATTCGATTTTGTCAGCCATGTGTTATCATATTTACCTATGTACATGATGTACCCGAGTCTCTGCTCCACAATTAGCCAAATTTATCTGAGCGAATACGAGTAGTTGTAGCCATTAGCATTACGGACTAACTAAATCGAAACGATTCTTGTGATTCTTGTATCTGCGGTCTTGCCAAAGATTCAAATTGTGCGAGTGCTCATGTCTCTCTCTCTCTCTCTATCTATCTCTATCTCTATCTATCTAACTTGATATTATTATGTAATATAATATTGTGTAGACCTTTACATTGACCATGTTCCAGCTCACGTTTTGGGCATGTGTTTCTCAAAAGACTTTGAATTGTACTCAAAAGGCGAACAACACGAAACGAAAGTGAAATTGTACAAAGCTCCGAAAATTTACAACATGAAACTCCTCGCCCACCCCGCGCCTTTTGAAAACTAGGAGCCCGCCTAGCCTGCATTACATTATGCATGTTTATACAGATGTACTATATTTACTACACATATATACCATATATACCATATACAGACCATATACAGACCTAGCTAGAATTAAGGAGGCGTGCGATCCGCGAGCCCAGCCCATTTGGCAAGTTTCATCGCTTAGCTCAGGGACTACTCGATGTGTTCGCAGATACTGAAAAAGGTGATCATTATATACGCTCGATATTTTGGGGCCTGGCTCGCGATCGCCGGATATTGCTTTCGTGTATTCGTTTTTGGTGTCTGCCGTGGTTATTTCGGTGCAGCTCGATTAGTTTTAACGCAGAGTTCTAGGCACGTCCCATAGAACTCCATAGATGATGCTTGAATAAATGGTTTATTTCAAAATGAAAGCAAATGTCTTTGAGGGGAACCCTAAATGTGTTACAATTTATAGTTTAAGACGACTTGCTGTTGTATGTTTTCAAATTTTATTTACTTTTAAGTTGGTTAGTTAATTTACTTTATTTTTTGCTGAAAATAAATATGATTTAATTGACATTGACTTGTTTAAATGTTAATTGGTTGGTTAAAATGTTTAAGTTTTTCTTGGAAAATTTGAAATTTTTAAAATATATTTTTGGTAATTTAACTCATGTCATTAAAAATACTTCGTAAGACTTCAAATTTAAAGCTGTTTGTAGACAAACAAATTTGCCCTTCACACACAAAAAAAAACCCATATTGCTTTCAACTAGTTATCATTATAGGCATTTTATATATATAAATGCATTTCAAGTTTGCAAATTTGAAATGCGCGCCTCTGCCATTTCTCTTCGCGCCACCAAATGCTGAGATTTTGCCAAGACTGCAGAACGGTCACACCACGCAATTAGCAAAGACACACTCCGAAGTTAGCAAGGACATTTTAAATATGGATGCCAAGGCGCCACAACGTATATCGATAGTTAGCGGGGACTTACTCCACAGCTAGCGAACACTTACTCGGCAAAACTGGAATGAAATAGTTAACAGTGCACAAGAAGTGTTGTGTAAGTACCGAGAATCAGTGCTGTTAACTTGTTATTAAAAAAACGTAGATTTTAACGGGATTGATGGGGAAAAAGTCTGTCCAGTTTAGAGAAAAACAGGCAGAGTGTGAAATTACAATATTTTTTATGACTTTGTTTTCCTTATTAATGTCACTGCATATTAATATATATAGATGCATGCTGGCGGGCCCAGCTAAAAAACAGTAAGATCGTAAGACCAATACTTTGGTCACACTAGAAAGAATAAACTTTTTACGCTGGCGTAGCTGTTCGTCGATCTGAGTACTGAGATTGATCACTTTTTAAATCTCATAGTTATAGAAAATTTTGACTTCTAACGTTTCCTTTTATTATAAACGAAGTGTTTAAGCAGAAATTAAGAATTTTTTCAAAGGGTGTGCAAAAAGTGATGTCATTAACAGTGTGCATGAAAGTTTCCAAGCTGTGTTGGCAAATCCGCCAAAAATCGACATTTCGCCACCCCTAGTAATTCCGGCACACCAACAAAAAATCGACGTTTCGCCACCCCTCGCAATTTTTTTATGCCAAACATCGATGAAACCGATGTTTTGAAAACATCGATTACATTTCTCACCAATCGTAATCTGGGCACACCAACAAAAAATCGACGTCTCGCCACCGTTCGTAATTTGGGCACACTGCTTTGTTGTTGCTCGAGAAGGAAAGTCGCGCAGTGAATTATTTTCTGGTAATTTTCTCTACTGTACTCCTCCCGTCTCGGGGCCCCGTCTTAATATTCGCCACGTAAATTAACAAAAAAGAAAAAAGTGAATAACGTTTAAAGTACTTAAAACAAGAAAAGACTTCGATTTGTGTGCCGACTAAGAAAAACCCCAACGAAAAAACAATATACACACACAGAGACAGCACATGACATATACATACAGGGTTTCTAGCGTGACGTGAAGTGTATATAATAAAACGAACCGTACAAACGCAAAAACAGAAAAGCCAAATGATAGTGGAAAACACGCAGACATTGTGAAAATGCGCATAAATCATTTCACAGTTATTATAGTATAGTACCAAAAAGAGCTTTTTCGGAGTTTTTCTTTTCTTTTTTAAAGTTATACCTGTTTTTTTCTTGGTTCTGCACAAACATTTGCATACATTTCGCTACAGCGAGTGAGTAATAAGGAGAATACATACAACTACTCGCTGTTTTGTTTTTTTTTTTCTGTACATTTTTTTGAAGTTAGTGCAAAAAAATAGGAAAGAGCCGAAAAACATGTTGTAAAATTCCATTCAGCATTTCCCACCACTAGTAACAACAACAGCAAAGCCGTTAAATCGCTCTCTCTTCCACTCGTTGCTGTTGTTGTTACTTTATGTACTCATTTTTTTTCATGTGCTTGCGGCTTCGTCATTCGTATGTACATATGTGCGTGTATGCGTCGTGCCTACGTGAGAGAGCGTGCGTGTATGTATATACACACACGGCGCTTCTCCTTGCCTCTCCCTAGCCACGAACACACACACCGATTCATGCGCTTGGCTTACACTTTGTTTTTTCTTTTTTGTTTCCGTTACAGTTGCGTAGTACATAGCAAAATTCATCACCTAAATATCACTTACAAATGTACTAGTAACAACATTAAGTTGTAAAACATAAGAAAAACACAGCTGCGTGTGTGAGTATTTAATTCTCTTGTTTAACATTTTGTCTCAACTAAATTAAAGTAAGCAAGACAGAGTGGCTGGGTAAGTTTTTGTATTTTAAACAGCTTTTGGTGCATATAAACCACAAAAGAAAAAGCAAGGGCAGCTAAAAAATAACAACAAAGACTAAGACACAACACATGCATACAGTCGCGTCCAGCAGTAAATGACCGAAAATTCTAGAGTAGGGTCGCTTTACCTGAGTTTTTATTGCGTCCCATTTTTCGACTTCCTTAGTTCCGTTGCACTTTGACTACCTACATTAACGCATATCCTGTATACATACATAAGTATATGTTTCCTGTTTATTCCGGAGAAAAATTATTAATTCGGTTAAGTTATTTGTTATTTGTGTTAAGTTTTTAAACTATATTAATAAAATTAACAAATAATGAGATTAACATTTGTCATAAGAAAGTATATTGATATCTTGTTAAGACTATATCGGAAGAAATAAATAAGACTAGTTAATATTACAAAATTAAAGTATTAATCAGTATAACAGTTAACAATTTAAAATCTCGTCTTCCAGGTTTTTGAAACATTTTACTATAATATATTAAAAGGAATACTTTGGTTCAATGCATTTTAAATGATTGATGAAGAAAGTTTGTTCTCGTGATGACTTTATCTGAGTTAAAATAATTTTTTGTATAGATTATTTTTAATTGGTACTTTTTTCGGTGCTCGACTGTGGCGACCGCCTGACGTCGACGGCATTGCCAGCTGTTATCGTTGATGGCAACGTGTTTTTTGTTTTTTTCTCGTGTTTTGGGTTACATTTCGTTTGTCCCTGGATAAGATACGCCATATTTTGGTGTTCCCCTTGCATTGCAATTAAAATAATTACCATTTTTCGATTAGTGTTTATATATGTATGTAGCTTGATATGAATACGGCTGCTTAAAGTTAAAACGATCCTCATTAGCGACACGCGCCTTTTAGTTATTAAGCTCGCATTTTTTCATTGAAGAAAAATGACGAAGGATTTCAATGCAGGTAGGAGTAAGAGAAAGATGTTAGATAATCACTTCGGGTTGTCTCTTTTCTACGCTCAGCTGCCGTTTTTTTTTTGTTGTTGTTGTTTGTTTTTCAATATGCAGCTGACTGGAAGCGAAGGGAAGGGGCAGCTACATTTTCCTTCTCTCCGTCTCTGGATTTTTGCTTCTCTTTCGCCCTCTGTCTCTCATTCTCTCCTCTCAACGGGTCATTCCCCTTTTTGCTGTTGGCAATGATCGTTTGAAAAAATGTATTGGAATATTGGAATGGTGGTAGCATGCACCACCTTCTCCCTCTTCAGCAACCTATTTTGCATTCCACTAAGGTCATTCCCTGGTGCAAATTACGAGTTACATATTTCCCATGATCGTTGTACCCAGTTTACAAACCTTATTTGGTCGGCATCCAGTATCCTACAGTGTTCCCTCGGAAATCGATTTTAAATTACAATTTTGCAAATTCAGACGATGTACATCTTTGGAGCGTTTAAATATTGAGTAATTGTTTATAATACGAATTTTTAGACATACATACATTGTTATTTTTTCTACTTAAAACCAACGATTTCTCATATAATATCAAGTTACTATTGTAAACAAATTAAATTTGTTGGTATAATTAAGCCAAACTTATTAGATACATATTAATAGCAATTCTTCCCGTAATAACTATGCATAAAGTTTAAATGTATTCGACTTCAAGTGCTTACTGTACTTATAAAACTCGTTAAATGCTTTGAAATTCAAACTCATACACACTTGACCCCACGGGATACACTTGAAATAGCAACAACAAAATTCAAAACAATCCAACCAAGCGATCAGCTGGAATGTTCGATGGATCGTTTGCTTGCGTCTGGCAATGCTGTTTGTTTCGATACTCATTCATGCATGCGGGTGCATGACTCACTCTAACAGCTGAGAGACTGTTAAATAGAGAGATATATCATAAAATATATACATAAATGGAATTAGCTAAATATGTGGCCTTTTATCAGCTGTTTCGCACACACAAACAGTGTATAAATGTGCTGCTCTATTTACACAGCTGTGCTCCAAATTAGCCAACTACTGTTATTAAACTGTAAAGTTTTTCTGGCTATATGTTATTGTCTTTCTCTCTCTTTCCTTTCCCTCGTACACTGGAATTAAGGCATGTTAAATAGTGTCAACTCGTTTCAATCAATAAAAGGCTGATTGGTTTTGTTTATCATTAAAAACACTTGTTTTATATTCTCCTAAGAATCTTAATGTCAATATTTACGCGCATATGGGCATAATGGGCATATTTAAATACTTTTTTGCTTGTACAGAATAAATCACAATCAATAAACAAATATTTGATCACTATGATCACTATTTTTTTTTTCAAGTTCACTAATAATTAAAATAGATAGTTGGCATTCAATAAATAAAATAAAAAAGTATATTCTTGTCACACATATTTAAAATGGATTGACATTTTAATAAGGTCTATAATCATCCGTCACTGTTACTTCCTGTTACCCATGCAAAAATTCGAAATATTTTGGCATCGCCTAAAGAAAATTCTGTTCTTTTACGTTAAATGTCTCGAAAGAAATTTACCCACAAAAAATTACATCGCTATTTAATATTGTCAATTTTCCCTGAGAGTTTTGTTCGTGCTGGACTTTCTTTTTTTCGGGTTTTTGATATCTCAGT